CCAGGAGTTGGAGGTTGCTGTGAGCGTGATGCCATGGCACTCTACCCAGGGGGACAGCTTGAGGCTCCGTCTCAAAAAAAAAAAAAAGAAAATGAAAAAGAAAACATATTAGGATATATCTGATATATATATATGTGTGTGTGTGTGTGTGTGTGTGTGTGTGTATAAGTATATGAAAAAGAAAAACAGACTGGGATATATCTGATATATATATATCCTAAGTACATTAAAAAACGCTTACAAAAAAAGAAAAAAACAGACAGCTCAATTAAAAACTGAGACAAAAAAATTTAACAGGTACATTGTAAAAAAGAATATCAGTCATCAGTGAAATGCAAATTAATTTGGAAATGTTTGGTTGTAAAAAAGGAACTATGCAATATTCTCTGTGAGCCAGCAGTTCCTCTCCTCTGTCCCAATAGAAATGAGTATTTATTTCTGTTGGGACTCAGGAATACAGATACCAAATGTTCCTAATAGCTTTATTCATAATGTCCAAAAAAGCAGAATTAACCAATATCCATCAACAATAGTATGGGAAATTTTTTTGATAATGTTCATTCAATTGAATCCCACATAGCAATGAAAAAGAATAAATTACTGACATGTTAACAATTTGGATGGCTCTTGCAGTCACAATGTTGAGTGAAAAAAGTTGACATAGAAGAGAATATGCTCTGTGATTACATTTGTAGGGAATTTAAAATAAGGTCAAACCAAGGCTGGGCATGGTGGCTCAGGCCTGTAATCCTAGCACTCTGGGAGGCTGAGGTGGGAGAATCACTTGAGTTCAGGTGTTTGAGACCAGCATGAGGAAGAGCGAGACCACATCTCTACAGAAAAAACAGAAGAATTAGTGGGATGTGGTGGCATACATTGTAGTCCCAACTACTTGGTAGGCTGAAGCAGGAGGGTCACTTGAGCCCAGAAGTTGAAGGTTGCAGTGAATTACAGTGATGCCACCACATTCTAGTCTTGGCAAGAGAGCAAGTAATGCTCCAGACAATGCCCTGCAAGAACAGAGAAGCACAGAGCTGGGCCCCTCTTCTTCTTCTTTTTTTTTTTTGATACACAGTTTCACTTTGTCACCCCCAATAGAGTGCTATGACATGTTAGCTCACAGCAACCTCAAATTCTGGGGTTCAAGTGATCCTCTTGCCTCAGCCTCCCGGGTAGCTGGGACTACAGGTGCCCACAATGCCTGGCTATTTTTTAGAGATGGGATCTCACTGTGGCTCAGGCTGGTTTCAAACCTGTGAGCTCAGGCAATCCACCCACCTCAGCCTCCCAAGTACTTGAATTGCAGGTGTGAGCCACCATGCCCGGCCTGGGGCCCCTCTTCAGCATGACTCTCCTCCTTTAGCCACTGACCCAGCCCCAGCAGCAGCAGGGTGGACACACCTGGACTTCCATTAAGAGGAGGCTGTGTCCACCCCTGGACCACACCCTGACATCACCCAGTGTGAGAGCACAGCAGGGCCCCCAATGTCCTGGCCTTTGGCAATAACATGCCTCTCTTATAGGCTGGAACCTATCACAGACCTCTAAGCAGGCTGAGGTTTGGAGGCCACAGATGCCACCAGGGATAGTCAGATAACCCACCTGGTGCAAATGGCTACCAGGAGAGCAGCAGGGCCTCCTGCTAGCCCAGCTTAAAGAGGCTCCTAGGCCCCATGGGCAGAAACAAGGGACACCAGTCTCATCTTGCTTCATTTTGACTTACATATGTTTGGGTTTTTAGATTGTTTAGAAATTTTTTTTAATCGAGGTATAATGACCTACAGTAAAATGATATGTATACATAATCCTGTGTAACCACCACCCAGATCAACATATAGAAATTTCCAGCACCCTAGAAGGCACCTACATGCACCCACCTGCTTCAGAATCACTCCTAGAGGTAACCACTATTTAGACTTCCATCATTTAGGATTAGTTTGACCTGATTTTTTTTTTTTTTTTTTTTTGAGACAGGTTCTTGCTCTGTCACCGGGCTGGAGTACAGTGGCCTCATCATAGCTCACAGCAACAGGATCACAGTCCTGGGATCAGATGAGTGAGTCTCCTGCCTCAGCCTCCCAAGTAACTGGGACTACAGGCATAGCCCCACAGGTCTCTCAGGGCTGGGCTCAATGCTCCCTCTCAATCAGACACCCATCTTTCTTGCCTCAGTGACCTCAGTCCTTAGGGTTGCCAGACTTAGTAAATTAAAATGCAGGACACCAGGTCAGGCACAGTGGCTCATGCCTGTAATCCTAGCACTTTGGAAGGCCAAGGCAGTAGATTGCTTAACCTCATGAGTTTGAGACCTGAGCAAGAGCAAGATCCCATCTAAAAACTAACCAAGCCTTATGGAGGGCCCCTGTAGTCCCAGCTACTGGGGAGGCTGACGCAAGAGGGTCACTAGAGCCCAAGATTTGAGGTTGCTGTAAGCTATGACACAGCACTCTGCCAATGGTGACAAAGTAAGATTCTGTCTCAAAAATAAATAAATAAACGGGACACTAGGGAAATTTAAATTTCAGATAAATAACACATGATTTTAGTGTAAGCATATCCCATGTAATACTTCAGACATACTAAAAAAACAATTGTTGATCTGAAATTCAAATTTACGAGGTGTTCTACTGAGGCTCCACTCAGCTGAGATCCTCCCCCCAACAAAGCTCCCCAAGCTACTTTTCACCTTTGCACACTTTGCCCATCAAGGACAGAGAAAGAGGTGCAGGTGACCCTACCTCCTAGTGCCGCTACCTCCTAGGCCTGGCCTGGAGGCTGGTGGGGGCAGCCATGAATGCCACTGCCAGCAGCCCTGCAGGCAGCCTCAGACGCCTCTCTTGTAGGCTAGAACCTACCACAGACCTCTAAGCAGGCTGAGGTCTGGAGGCCAGAGATGCCACTAGGGACAGTCAGATAACCTGCCTGGTGCAAAGAGCTGCAGGGGCTCCTGCTAGCCCAGCTTAAAAAGCAGAAGACTGAGGATGTCAGCTTTGAGTTGTATGGGGGATCTGAAGGCCAGAGGTCACTCCACAGAGCTGTATAGCAGGTCGCGAAAGGTCAGATGGATGAGTGGGTGGCCAGTACTGCCTCCCTGAGCCTGGCATGTGTCACCAGGGCCCATTCCTGGAGTTTTGTATGTTGGGGATGTTGGATCCAAGACCCTCCTAGTATCCCTTTTCTCTGCCCACAGGGCCTAGGCACCTCACTCCTAGCCTGAACTTGCCCTGCTCACCTGCTACTTGGTGATTGAGGGGCCTTCCAATGCTGGATGCCCACATGGGCTGCCCATATCTCTGTCCAAGGCTCCTTGGATGCTCCTCTGTCCCAACTCCTTGTCCCTGCCCCACTCCCAGAGGCCTGGGAATTCAGTAACTGGTCCCTCTTGAGGTGGCACCAGCTATATCATTTGAGATCAAATACCTTTCCAAAGAAAAGCAGTGCCTGCACCTCAAGATACCATGCTCCTAGCTGTTCCAACCCCTGGAGTCCAAGTGGGAGGGCAGACCCAACCCTGAGATAGAGAGGAGGTACCCAGCCTCCAGCCTGGCAATGGCTGAGAGTGAGCCGTTGGCCTTGGGGGACACCTAGGGAGGGAGCACAGGGGCCCCAGGAACCTGGCCTCTAGGTAAGACCCTACAGCCAGGACCCTCACTGGCTCACTCAGCAGAGCCTGTTCCAAGAAGGCCTCCTGTGCTGCTGCTCTCTCAGGATGGTGAGACTCTCCCTATCAGGGCTGCCAGTGGGAGAGGCCCTGGAATGACCTCCTGATACCGGCGTGGCACCATGGGGCAGGCACCATGAGCTGGATCTGGAGCTGCCTGTACCACCTTGGCCTTTATACCCTTTGGAGTGAATCCTCTATTATTATCACCATTTCTAGATGGGGGACTGGAGTTAGAAGCAAAGCTGCCTGCCTCGGCCCTGTGCAGGGATGGTGCCCAAGACTACTGATTTCCCCTGGGCTGGGGGTCCACATCCCTACTGCCTGCTCACTGGCCCTTCCCATTGCTTCCCGCTTCTCCTGTCCATCATTGGTCCCTGGGAGAGCTGGGCTTTGTCCCCTGGGGCCTGTCTTGGGCTGTCCTTGGGGACATGGTTATGAACCAGTCCTGTCTCAACAGCTCCCAGCACCCAGGAGAACACTTCCCCAGAGTCTCTCAGTCCCCTCCCCAGAATAGCTCAGGCCTTAAAAATCACCATCCTCCCCTGCCCTGCACTCAAGTAGCATGGACTCAACTTACCTGGGCCTGGCTATTGCTCCAGGAACGCCCATCTCTAGCTCCTGCCAGGTGGTGGTAGGTGCCCTGAGAGACTCTGTGACAGGCCAGCTGGGCCCTGGGTCTGAGACCTAGGGGTCAGAGGTGCTTCCCATGCTGACTTCTTGGGAGTCAGGGAGGTAATGTAGGGGCAACACGGTGGCTGCCGCTGCAGGCCCCCCCAAGCCTACCAGTTGTCCCTGCAGCTCTGGTTCCTCGCCTCTTCCTGTGCCGGTCTCAACCTCAACCTTCCTTCCTGTCTGATTTCAAAAGCCAACAGCCTCGCAGACAAATCAATGGGCTGGGGCTGCCTCAGCACCACTCTCTGGCTTTGTCACCACCCCCGTAAGTCAAAGTGGGGGAGTGCCACTGGGAGGGTCTCTATTCTGAGACCTGATGCTTAGAATAAAGTGACATGGCATCAAAGCTGTTGACACATGACCCTCCACTCCGCCACAAAGGAAAGCAGACTCACCACTAGTAGGAGCAGCAGTAGTTGGGGAGTTCAGTGAGTGGCCTGATAGTCACGCAGATAGACTGCACCCTCCCACCCCTAGGCCAGGGGCTCCATTACCCCTGCAGCCCTCTCCTCCTCTTCTAATCCCTCTGGCTTCCTTCTCTCTGTCACCCAATAGGCACCTTCTGACCCATCTATACCCCACAATGTCTTCCTGTGAGTCAAAGGGTCCCAAAGGCAGGTCACCTGCACCCTGACAGGAAACAGCACCATGTGGACATTCATGGCAAGAGATCACCCCCTGGCCCCTGAAGCTAGACCTGAACAGGTAGTCTGCCCTGATAGAGGACATGAAGAGGAAGGACATGGCCCAGAGTAAGCCACATGTGAAATGTTATAATAAAGGAAAAGTACAGGACATCTTCCAGTGACAAGCCACTTAACATGGGTCCACTGAGGAAAGTAGGTGACAAAGTGAGAACCAAGTGATAGAGGAGTCTTGGGATCTGAATTTTCCTCACCAAACAAGTAAGAACCAGTGATGGTTGTAAAGCAGCATCGTGGGTTCAGAGGCATACAGCAGCTTGTGTATGCTTGTGTACGGGAGGTGGGAAAGCATATGTGATTGTCACTAGTTCATTCTCCTGGGCCTATGTGGGTGGGTGGTGGAAGGGAGGGCGCCAATGAGAAGGGCTCCAAATCCCTTCCTGCCTTCTCCCTCCCTCCCAATATATGCCTGGGAACCCTGGAATGTGTCAGGTGCTGGGAGGACACAATGGTGGTCCTCGAGAAGCCTGGCAAGGTTCCAGACAGAGTACTGAATCACTGGCTGCTGCTTTGGCTGTGGGGTGCAGCAAAGATGTTTGCAACCAGGCCACCCACAGGATGTTGGAAACCACAGGGGCCTGATGGGTATCTCTGTCACATGAAGAGGCTTGAAGCCACTTGCCCTGCCTCCTTTGACAGTTCACAGTGGCTGTATGCCCAGCACGCAGAGCATGAGAGGAAACAGCCTCCTCTGCAGGGACCTCAGGAACATCTCAGGCCCACCCCCTTCTCCCTACCTCACAGGAATGCCCACTTGCCCACACAGGGCTGGCCCACATTCTCTATGCTGCCGCCACCTCTGGGAGAACCAGGTGGGCTATTCCCCCAGCTCCTGGCCAGGGAATATCAAAGGGGTTATTCTCATCCTGGGGCTTTCTGTCTATCCAGAGCTGGGGTCAGTTGGACAGCAATGGTATTGGTCCTCCTTTCAATGACAGCGCAAGCTTCCCACCTGCAGGGGCAGGGCCTTTCTCTGTGGGCACCATTGCCTATGCCAGAGCTGGGCTGTGGTTCTCCTTTGATTGCCTTAAGTGGACGTACCCAGGCTGAGGCTAGGGCTAGGGTCATGGGAAGTAGGACAGGCCTGTATGTGCCTGTTTTTTTGATCTAGTTATGGCCAAAGAATGTTCAGTTGTCAGCTCTCCTGGTACTCCTTCCCCTCATGGTGAGGCAGGACAGAGCTGCTAAAGGACTCCCTCCCTGCCTTGTCCGTGAGAAGGCCCCTGTAGCCACAAGCCTCGACATAGGCACTGAGAGAAGGTGCACCTAAGGCCCAGCTCAGAGGAAGCTGTACCTGACATGATCCTTCAGGCCACCTGAGCCCAACTCCCAACCTCTACAAGCCTGGGTTAGGCCAGCATCTGTCTCCTGGTCTCTCCAACACAGGCCAGAGCAGCGCTTTGCAGGGGCTCTATGAATGTAGATGTATAGACACATGTATGGATGAACAAGTGAATGACTATCTATGAGAAATGAGGTGGCAGCAGGCCTGGGCTACTCTGAGATGAGGGATAGGCACAGGAAGGGCTTCCGCAGACACGGGCATGGAGCAGGATAGTATGGTTTCCAGCTCACAGCCTGCTTCCTTCCTGATTTTTTTGGAGTGTAGCATTTGAGTTTTTATAAAGCCTTTTTGTTTTTATTGCATATCATATAAAACTGGCTGCACCACACTTCAGACAAGGACAATCACAGGATGTGGACACTCAATTTTCCTTTTCTGGCCCTCACCTTCAGCCCACATGGCTCCTGAGGCTGAAGGCAGCACTAACAAGCATGAGCAGAACCCACTAACAAAACATGCTTGTCTGGGGGGGCTCCAGAGTTGTGCCTGGCCCTTGTGCACAGCCCAATTTGGAGACCGCTGGTGGCAAAGACAAATATCTCAACAGGACAGCTGCCCCTGGAATGTGGCAATTTATGGTGCCTATGGACTCCTGGTCTGCTGGTAGTTGCTGGGACTACCAGTAAGAGCTGAGAGGGAAGATAAGCCCAGACTGCTAGGCAGGAGGGGCCTGATGTCCATCTCAGGAACAGACTCATGGGGCAGTCATGCCCAAGACTAGTGGACAGAGTGGCAGATGTGGCACAATGAGGTCTTTTCCTGGCCTGGTGGAAGCCAACTACCCACTAAAACACTAGGGTTTTACTGAGTTAGAGACACGCCGTGGGCACTGAGAAAGGAAAGGGGCTGGGGACCCAACATCCAGTGGGTGATACTCTCCAAATACCACTCCAGAGAGTGGAGTCCAGAGGAAGGAGACTTGGGTCAGTGCTATTATTTTGACAGGTGAAGAGCTGACAGGATCCGAAGGCCCAGAAGTGCGTGGGGAGGCCTAACTGGCACGGGTGTCCCTGGTACTCCCTACAGGTGGCCAGTGGAGGCTACTGACAGCAGGGGTGGGATAGAGGAGGGCCCTGTCAATTCCGCTCCCCTTTCTTCTTGCCCACCGGATGCCTCCTCTTCCCCTGGAGCTTCTTGCGGGCTGCAGCAGTGGTGAAGGTAATGCAGTGGGCGTCCAGGAAGTCCAGCAGCTTGCCTGTGGCCATGCAGATGCCGTTCTGCTTCAGCTCAGCCTGCAGCTCCCCTAGCTCGAAGGGCTGGTATAGCAGCACTTTCCGGTACAAGGCAGGCCGGGAGCGGATGAAGCGTCTCACTGCCTCTTCTGTGTCTGCCGCCTGTGATGCACTGAGCCCCTCCTCGCGCTCCTCATCTTCACTTGCAGACTCAAAGGCTGCACCAAACTCACCAGAGGAAGAACTGAAAAGAGCCAGACAATGGCATTTTGTGACACTCTTTCTCTCTAGCCCTCTACTCCAAGACCAGGAGCCTCTTTGAAGGAAGGTATGTGTTTGTACAGCCTCACCCCCACCCCCTGTGGAGTCTGGCAGGTGGCACAGATGATCCCTTGGGGCAGTAGGACACACAGGACAGTTCTTTGTGGGCTACTCCAGCATGTTCCTGTCCTCAGCCAGAAAAGTCCAGGCATGGGGACAAGGAACCAGAAGGTCTGCTCAGGGTCAGAGAAACACACTTTAAACCTGCCAAAAGGTTTCCTATAGTTCAAACCCACAAGGCAACAGAGGTTTCTGAACATCAGCCATTAGGCCTTGCATATGCCAACTCTCTGATTTGCTTCTATCTGTTTACCTTTGTGAGCTAAAGGAGCTGTCACTGCCATCCACAGAGGTGGTCACAGATTCCTGGGAGGCTGGGAGCTGGATGTCACCACCAGGTTGTGGCAGAGACTCCGTGGCTGGTGACTTGGGCTGCTGCTTTCCACTGGGCTGCTGCTTTCTACATTGGGTACCCTTGGTCTTAGCAGGTTGCTTGGACCTTTGAGGTACGGGTCCCAGACTGGCCTCCCTTGAAGGCTTGTGGGTCTCCCTTGAAGGCTTGTGGGTCTCCCTTGAAGACTTGTGGGTCTCAAAGGTGTGTGTCTGTCTGGGAGGCACCTCCAGTGGCACTTGTGAGGACTGGATCTCATCCTCAGAATTGGACTCCAAGGTCTGGTGAGTATAGTGAAATATCTCCTTCAGTTTCAGAACCATCTGGCGTTTGGGCAGAGGGCGGACTCCAAACCTGAGCAAGAAAATAGGTGAAGTTCAGGACTCAATCACAAGGCCTGTCTACATACTCTATGCTATTTCCAAAATAGACTGCAAAGAGCAGTTACCAGCACATCTAGCAAAGTCTATGTAGGACTGAAACCTTAGGTGCCTGGCTTTTAGAAGCATCAGAGGTTAGTCTGTCCTACGCACCAACTTAAGCTTAATCTCAAGAATAAGTCCCTAGCTTACTAATGAGATACATTATGTAGGTTTATTTTTTTATTTTTTTATTTTTTTTGAGACAGAGTCTCCAGCTGTCCCCCTGGGTAGAGTGTCGTGGCATTACAGCTCACAGCAACCTCCAACTCCTGGGCTCAAGCGAGTCTCCTGCCTCTGCCTCCCAAGTAGCTGGGACCACAGGCGCCCG